CCCACTCTCCAGCCAGCTGATCAGAACCTGCTCCGGGTTTATTATTAATAGGGAGTCTTTTCTTTGATTTATCATCGAGAAGTTGAATAATTACAGCTAGGGGAATACGAAAAGATTGAATGGATAATTAAATGAGTATGAAAAGATTATAAGATTATAAGGTTATAAGAAAAGAATGAATGAATGATGAATGAGTAAGTTAATAAGAAATGATAAGAAGATAAGAATAAATAAATGAATGAGTAGGTGAATAAGTGATAATAAGAAGTAAAGAATGAAAGGATGAATGAGTAAGTTAATAAGTAATGATAAGAAGATAAGAATGAACGAATGAATAATAAGAAGTAAAGAATGAATGAATGATGAATGAGTAGGTGAATAAGTAATGATAAGAAGAAAAGAATGAATGAATGCATGAATGAGTAGGTGCATAAGTGATAATAAGAAATAAAGAATGAATGAATGATGAATGAGTAGGTGAATAAGTAATGATAAGAAGTAAAGAATGAATTAATGCATGAATAAGTAGGTGCATAAGTGATGATAAGAAGTAAAGAATGAATGAATAAATGAGTAGGCGAATAAGTGATGATAAGAAGATAAGAATAAATAAATGAATGAGTAGGTGAATAAGTGATAATACGAAGTAAAGAATGAAAGGATGAATGAGTAAGTTGATAAGTAATGATAAGAAGATAAGAATGAACGAATGAATAATAAGAAGTAAAGAATGAGTGAATGATGAATGAGTAGGTAAATAAGTAATGATAAGAACTAAAGAATGAATGAATGCATGAATGAGTAGGTGCATAAGTGATAATAAGAAGTAAAGAATGAATGAATGATGAATGAGTAGGTGAATAAGTAATGATAAGAAGTAAAGAATGAATATGCATGAATGAGTAGGTGCATAAGTGATAATAAGAAGTAAAGAATGAATGAATGCATGAATAAGTAGGTGCATAAGTGATGATAAGAAGTAAAGAATGAATGAATAAATTAGTAGGTGAATAAGTGATGATAAGAAGATAAGAATGAATGAATGAATGAGTAGGTGAATAAGTGATGAATCTACCAATGAATGAATGAAAGTGATGAATTTTATCCTACCTCGTCATTCATCCCATCTAGTTGACCTGCAGCTAGCCAGGTTAGTCCTGGTATACGGGTCAATATATCCTGGATTACAGGACTGGATAGATCAGTGGAAGATATATCCAGCTCCCTGAAATATAACCTATTCTTAGCCTAGCATAAAATATAAATAAAAGACCTAGTAAAATAATCAGAGAGCGAAACTTTTGTATGGAATAGCGCTAAGCTTCAGCAACTGAGCTCAATATCCACTTCTGCAAACATTAAACTTGTTGAGGGGTTACCTACTTTAAGTAGGGAAAAGTTGCCCATACCATTGCATCAATGATGACTTTTTACCTATGAAATAAATGTGTATCCCACGTTTAAGGTTAAACTGTACAGGGTAAAAGAAACCGTCTGTTCGTAGGTTTAAGATAAAAAAGCACAAAAATTATATGTTAACCTTAAAGAAGTCGCTTTCTCCCACTCTGCCTGTTGAACTAGATCTCCGGAGAGACCAGTCTGTTTCAACATTAAACATCTAAACAAATACAGTGTTAACAGGACCTGGAGAGTGTTGATCCAGGGACTGGAGATCTTAATAATATCTAGTGTGCCTACCTGAGATGTTTACACCGCTGAAGTAATATCTTCAAACTACCACCCTGAAATTTATTCAGATTCAAACAAAAATATCGAATTTAATTATTTATAAGTGTCTGGATACAGTTGGAACTAAAAGCTTCTATATGAGCATCATCAACAAAGCTGACTCCCCACAGGTTTATCACACTAAATATACATGTCAAATGCTATTAAAAAATTTAACAAGGATAACGACAATACCTGAGGTTCGGAGTTGCTTGCTTCAGAGATCTTATATTCAGAACTTCATAAACTTCTCCTTCCTCTTCTTCACCCTAAATAAAAAAATCTTTTTTTCTTCTTCTTCTTTTCCTCCTCCTCCTCCTCCTCCTCCTCCTCCTCTATATTTATCAATTTATCTAATGTTTTCAAATTTTTGAATCAACGATTTTTGAATTATTTAAATCGTTAACACTTCTTAGTTCCACTAACCTGCTCATATGTACCATACAAATGAAGAGATTCCGTTCCATTTATAAAATTATAAATCTTTTTCATAAAATTGTCCAGGAAAATGGTTTCACTCAGACAAAAGCAAAGGTATCTAAAAATTGTAATATCATACAGTGATAACCAGAAAACAATGGAACAAGAAGACGACTTTATAACAATACAAGTGTAAATGATGTTGTTACAAAGCAAATAATTTTACTCACTTATTGAGTGAAATGAGTCTGTTTACACTGCACTATTGCTGTGTCGCATGCTAATAGGACTATTTAAACTCATAACTTGAGTCTAAAAGTTGTTATCCTATTTCAGAGTTTTCTGGTTATCAAAATAATCAAAATATCAATTAGTATTATCAAGAAACTTTATTCATTATTGTTAGGTTTGATAATATTGTCAAATTGTCAAAAAAGTTTCAAGGGACAAACAACCGTTGGTACTCTGTAAAACAAGGGTTTCCACGAAATGGCTAAATCTTTTGCGCAAAATTTGCGCTATTTTCGCACACATTTTTTGCGAACTTTTGCGCTATTTTTGCGCATGAAACGCAATGAGTTTTGCGCGGTTTTGCGCTATTTTTTTTTGGCGCAATTTGCGCAAAACCGCAAGTTTTACGCAAAATGTAACTTTTTAGGCAAATTGTCAAAAATTTATATTCTAAGCTTAGAATTAAACAACTGAAGATTTATTCCATACATAAAAAAAAAATCTTAACATACGAGTATGATAAAGATTATACTACACTCAATTGGTTACTTCCAGTTACAAAAAGTTTAAATTAAGGGACCAAAATTAATAAAATAGAAATTAGAAAGTGTAAAACTAGGCAATACTTTAATCATATTAAATAATATTAAAAGCTTTGCCTAATTAAGTATGAATTATATTCTTAAAATCAAAATTCTAAAATCTTTTTAATCTCATCTAAAATAATGCAAGAAAGTAACCAATGCCTGAAGAATCCGCTTTTAGGAAATATGCATATCCAAAACTAAAATTGTCGAGACTTTTACTGGACAATCTGTTTCTAAGAAACACACACCGTCACCAACCGTTTGATTTTTACGAAATTGCGGAATTGCGCAAAACTCTAGTTGCAGAATTGTGCAAAACTTGAGTTTCGCAAAAGCCGAATAGGAAAATTTTGCGCGAAATGACTTTTGAGAATGATTGCGCAAATTGTTGTTTTTATGCGCAAAACTGATGCGAAAAGAAAGAAAAATTTTGCTTTTCGTTCCGCAAAAATTGCGCAAAAGTTTTGCGAATGGAAACCCTATGTAAAACTTAGTCTGAGTAAAAATGATATCCTTGTTTTTCTCTCTCAAATTAATAATTTTCGATTGCAGTTCATCTACATATAAAAATCACAATGAAGAAAAATTACAGAACTCATCTATCTTTATGATAGAAAAAAATTGATATCTTCCTCAGTGTTACTCAGATAATGAGTTAAAGGGAACCGTTGTGAGTTGATTTTAATGGAGGGTCGTTTAAAATAATGCCGACAGTCGCTTTCAGAATCCGTGATTCCTAAACCTAATCTTGGTGGGGAAGGCTGAGAGTCCTGAGAAGTCCGCTAACTGAGCTCCATGTGAGAAATCCAATAGGAGATGGGTTAGGTTAGGACACCGCTGAGATAGCTCATGGAGAACCTGGAGCAATTTATTCATCAAACCTTTTAACTTTAAAGAGACTGTAGACGTAATTTTACGTAAATTTTTATTTACAGAGTGGTCTATGTCCGATTCACACATGTATCACTTATACCTTTTCCTGATGGCGTAGAAATCCTTATTTTTATAGCTGAAAATTGAGTTCCGGTAGTGTAGTGTACACTTGCTATTTTCAGGCACTACATTTCAGTTTATAGATAAGAATAACTAATATTCCTGATCAGACAGATTTTACCCTTGTAAATTGGACTGTTCACTCTATAAACGAAATGACGTATACCGTCTCTTTAAATATGATTTTTGGAATCTAAATAATCTGTCATTAATAATAACTTCAAATTGATTTTTTATTTTGAAAAATTAAACCTCAATTGTTATGAGATCACAGGGAAGCTCTAGGTATCTCAGATTAGTTCCAAACCTATAGGTACAAAAAACAATTGAGGTAATACAGGATAATCAAATGATTTTTCAAATATGAATAAAATCAAGTTATATAATAAAGTTTTATCAACCTAAAACTATAACTCCATGTAAAAATGCACAAAAATGTCTTTTCAGACGTTTTAACTTTTATTAGATAAAAACATGCAAACAAACAGAGAAGCTAAATAAAAAAATTATCTTCAGGAAATATAAGAACGTAAAGGTATGATAATCCGCCATAGAAATCCTCGGAAATCCACGAAAAGTCATGCTTTGTTTGAACTACTGACATGACTTCATACCCTGTAGTTCAAATCAACACATTACTTGTTCATTTGAACTATTTTTCTATAAATTCAGTTTTGTCATAATTCATGAAGTTAGGTCATATACAATTAAATTGATATAGTTTAAACACAAAGAAATATTTCAAATGAACATAAAATATTTCAAATTAACCATTTCATTTAAACTATTTTTTGGTTCATTTGAACTATTTTTAAAGGTTATTTGAACTATAATGTTAAAAGTTCAAATGAACAAAAATATAGTTAAAATGAGCTTGAAATAAACTCGTTTGAACTACTCACGTGGTACCACGTGCAGTAGTTCAAACGAACAATAGTTCAAATGAACAATAGTTCAAACGGGAGTAGTTCAAACAGCATAGCATCCATTTACTAAAGATCATATACTGCATATATAAATAAAGTTAAATTACCTACGATGAATGAGATTAACTAGGAACTCAATACTGGGAATATTTAACCCTGATATCTCCGGTCTTAATGACACAAAGGTCCACAGTCTTGAATCCTGATCACAGATCAATCAGTCATAAAAAAAACATTATATTTTAAAACCTTGGTGAGCTTTTTTGTAGTAATTTAACAGCAGAGACGATTTTAGATCAGATTATAAAAGCATAATCAAATATACATGATTATTTGAGTTCACAGACAGAAAATACAAGCTGAAAACACTAAAAGGTCACAAAGCTATCATATCTCATTTTAAATCCTCTTTTTTTATTTGATATCTCTTAATGTTCTCTACTTGAAGCATTAAAGCGGAGATAACAGAGTCAGAATTTAATGAATTTGAGCCGCGTCTCAAATTCGCCAAAAACCGGTTTAAATTGAGCGCAGGCCTAAATCTTGAAACATTAATTACATTTTTCAGTGGAACCAATTATATCTTAGTCGCGTCTCAAATTTTAGCATCGGCTTAACTTCTTTAAATTAGGCCTCAGGTCGTATTCAAACGCTCTACAAATATATAAACCGACTTGTTTCAAGGTATTTTGATGCAGAAACTAAAAAATCTTCATGAATGCTTACAATGTTTAGCAAAGCAATTTAGCGCGATTCGCAACCCCTCTCTATCAATAATAGTTTTAGCTTTTAATTGTTGCCTTCCCAGTCGCAATCTTCTTACCCTTTTCATAAAATAAACTCTAGCAGACATAATAATATTATGGGTTTTGAAATTAGGTATTACAATGCTAATTCATAACAAAGACGATATTAAATTCGTCACTGAATTCCCATGTTTTTTGGGACACCCTGTACATCGTCAAACCAATAATTGATGGTTTTCCAAAATTATCAATATCAACATTTTTTTTTCGTTACAAATTTTCAATTTAAATGTTCCATAAACTTTTTCTGGGGTCAAGTTGCAGATACCACAAAAAAATAAGGCCCAATCGTTTTTCCGTTTTGACGTTCAACCAACAAGAAGACAATTATGTATGGATATATATATAGATTTTGTTAATCAAGTTCAAGAAAATGATTCTGTTCCTGAGATATAGTTTTCCATTTCCTGTTTACCCGGGAGCAAACCGCCACCATGTACTGAAAATATTGTAAATATTATCTGATTTTAAGAGTACTTTGCCATTTAATCACCAAGTAATCAGTAAAATCTACAGAGGAATAGGAAGACGACTAACACGGGTCTATTCCACAGTTTTATGGGTTTCACTATAACAGTGAAATAGAAAAATGATAATAAGTCAATTTAAACTTAATTTCTTATGTTATACGTATATATGTATTTTGTTTTAGAAAACAAAGTAACAAACTAAAAGTCGTCTTCCTACTTCACCTAATTTACCAAATTCGTATAAAGGAATNCGGGAAAATAATATATTTCAAAATTTTGGAAACTTAGAGGGCTAAGGGTAAGCTCAGGATTCTCCTGTTTATTGGGACTGACCTTTTGTGGAATAAAACTGAAGATTTTAAGAAGAACTTTGTCCGGTAGAGACTTTATCCCAACACAATCTTCATCAATCATTTTTAATCTAATTCTAAATAGAATTAGGTATCGTTTTTATCCATTTTAAAAATAAAATAGAAATTGGATTTCAGAATGCTCAAAAAAAATCTACGAAGTTTACTGTAATTAAAAAATAAGTTTTTTTTCAGTTTTATTTTCTGAAATCACGGAAAATGTTGAATCTGAGCAAAGAGAAATAAGCATATTATCAAATCGTTCAGAATTTAACGTTTTGCTTCGTGTGATAAAAGCAAACTTTAAAAGAATTAAAAAAACGTTAAATAAATTTAATTTCGCAGATTTTTATGAAGTCTCCAGAATGCTAAAAGTACTGAAAATACTAGGCTGTATATACTATTCCATAGTAATTCAAGATAAGCCACATCAAATTTGACCGACAGCTGTATATGGAAATTTAATGGATTTAGAAAGTATTTTAAGCGTACATCAACATAAAATAAAGTAATTAAAGAATTTTAAATTTTAAACTTTAGGAAATCCTTTAAATCAATGTACAATAAAAAGGATAATTAAAAGAGACAACTAAAAAAACCTTCTGCTAGTTCGATAGATATAAAATATTTTGAAAATAATATGACAATCCGTTTATCCCAAAACGTGAATGCCTTATATATTATATATATATATATGCCTTATATATATTTGACTCATATAATATGTAAAAATAGGTCCTAGCTCTACTCTTTCTAATCTTTCATTTTTACAAGGTGGGTGTTGTTCTTTAACCCCTGGTCTCTGATACCCACCAACTCCTGATCTGGGTTTCTCCTTACTAGTTGTATGGTCTCACACCGTCATGTGTATTATTTCAGGATATAGCATTCAAACAGCTATCCTAGCTATATCCTTTTGCTATTCTAAATAGAAGAAAATATTATTTGTACATTTACATATACATGTTTTTATATTTTCTGAAAATTTTGTAAATTTAAAGATATTTAGCAATAAACGTTATTATTAGTATTATTATTATATTGTAGAATTTTTTTCACTAAATTTAAATCTTAACAAAATCTACGCTCATCTATATATAAATTTGGCTTGACTGTCTGTTTGTTTGTTTGTTTGTTTGTTTGTCTGTCTGTTTGTGTCTGGAAATAAAAGCCAAATATTTTTTTATTGGAGCCAAAATGCGGGGCGAGGAGACAGAATGGCGGGAGGCTTGGTGACGTCACTGAGGCTGGGAGACCAGTTTTGCGGGGCCGGGAGATAATTCTGCAAATCCTGAGGTTCGGAGATCATTTTTGCGGGGATCATGGCGCCTCTGCACCCCCTCCCTCGCACCGCTCTACGACTTAAAACTGCAAAATCAGCGTTTCTTCCTCTTAAACCGTTTACCTCGTTTACCTATAAATACTCCATATAGTAAATATTATAGTGTTGAACTAATACAGGGTTACCCATTAAAGGATATGAATTCATGGACGACTGTACAATTTGTTTTCTTCTTTAGTCACAATCATAAAGACCTGGAATTAATTGACAGTTAAATAGACGACTTTATATATAAATCTCTGGCAATTTTAAATGCTCAATAAAGTAAGACCCCAATTTGGAAATGGCAGGATTTGGGCCATTATGTGATTTTTTGTTTAATCAATCATATTTGTAAAATTAGATTGTAAAGTCGTCTGATATTAATTCCAGGTCTTTCTAATTAGGAATGAAGTAAAATTTAGACTTTCCAGGCATGTTCCATCGTAACTTTAAAATGCTTAAATTGTTCTTCGTTGAAGTATTACTCAGATCTACCATTCGTTTAAGATACTGGGTGTCCCACGAAACATGACAGTTGGTGAATAGTTTAAAATGTCTTCTTCCATAATTTGTTAAGTTGTTTGATACCAAAGATGATGATAAGAAATACTAAATGGCAGTAATATTATAGTAAAATTGTTTTCAAACAAATATATATTTGAGTAAAAGACTTGTATAACGAAATAAATTGCAAAAAGTCATTATCTTGGAAGTAGACATTGAAAACTATTCACCAATTGTCATGTTTCGTGGGACACCCTGTAGATTAATTCTATACGATTGTGAACTAATAGATTGACAAGCTATCTAGTTGTAAAGAATACTATATATAGTACAGTCATAACCCGAAACCTCCGAAATAGGAAGACGACTTTATAGCAATACTTTGTGTATTTCATGTTGTTATAAAGCAAATAGTTTTACTAGACTCATATTAAATAAAAAATCAACTGTAATGGGTCTGTTCACAGTCATAATTTAAGTTTAAAAGACGTCTTCCTATTCCAGAGTATTTATATACAAAAACAATCCATGCACAAAGTAAAACACATATGACTAAAAATGTATATTTCTATAAATTTAAAATTTTTTATACAAATGAAACATCTCTCTAAAAGAACATGAGAAGGTATTTCGTGAAAAAAAAACACTAGTTCCAATTTCGAGTAAGATCATCACGGTTCTCGGATCTGGGTCTCAAATAAACTATAGACTTAAATATAACTTAAGTCCAAGTCCAAGAATACAAAATAAATTTAGAAATTACAACTATGACTTTTACTGAAAAACATTAAAAATGAATTGATTACTAGCCTCTGACTCTAATATTATAATTAAATTGAAATTTGTAATTTTATATGTTTTATATCTAACTCCTCTTAAAAAATAAGTGTTGTGAAAAACAAAAATTGAATTTTTGATACGCAAACTAAATAATTTTTGATACGCAAACTAAATTACTTGTGCGTAAGATTTAAACTAAAGGAGCTAAGAGGTCCAAAGTTGTGCCAAAATTTAACATTCTCCCTCTGTCTTGTTCAGTGTGCACCATCTGGTTTCAAAGATAAAGGTGAACAAAATTAGAGTCTGAAGTAACTAATCAGTTCCTTTTTTACAAAAAAAAACACAAAATTTAATTGAAAGTAAAACAAACTGTATACACAATATATCACAGATAAAGAATATATATCTAATGTTTAAAGACGACATTAACGCTGACAAGTTTAATAAACTCGAATGGTGGTTTTTTACAGAAAAAAAATGGTTTTTCATTTTTCTAATTTAGAGGCATTATAATCTTTTAAAATCCAAACTTGGGACTCCTTCCCCACCTCACAGGGCTCCATCGCCATTTTTTTCCTGGAAATATACTTTCAGTTCTTGAACAAACAGAGAGAATTAGGGGGTTTTAGGACTTAGAAAATATGTGAAATATTACATCATTAGGATAGTTTAATTAATTAATTCTTCTTCCCCCCCCCCCCCCCCCTACCCTGTCAATCCTTTAAAAAGTGCCATCAAAGATGCACAATGTCTTTGACGTCTTTTTTATGTACACAGTACATGGTTATCTATGAAAGATAAGCTTTCATAGATAACTGTCCAGAATTTATTCTGTACGTAGACAACTGTACAGAATTTATTCTGTACATAGACAATTTTATCTTTAATCCATCTTTTTGGGGGGATTTTCAAGATTTTGATTGAAACTATATCAAAAGAGGGTTTATCAAAGTCTCATCCTTTGTGGATGACTCTGTACTAAAATTGAAAATATTTTTCGAAAATTGAAAACTTCCATCCTAGGTGTTTTTATGAAGCAACTCGTGAAAGATAAACGATAAAATGACCGGAATTTTAATAATTCAAAATTGGGGAAAACAACGAATTTCTATTCTCCCTTTTTTATATAATGGATTTAATTAATAAAAATTTGATAAATAACAAAAATAAATGTTGAGAAATTCCTATTACCTTTCCTCGCCTACTGTCAGGCATTTATGTGTGAGTTTATGCTTCAATCTTTTCTTCTCCTCATCATATATCCACCATTGATTACCCTTAAAATATATCCACCATTGATTTCCCTTAAAATATATCCACCATTGGTTTCCCCTAAAATATATCCAACATTGATTACCCTTAAAATATATCCACCATTGGTTTCCCTTAAAATATATCTACCATTGGTTTCCCTTAAAATATATCCACCATTGGTTTCCCTTAAAATATATCCACCATTGGTTTCCCCTAAAATATATCCAACATTGATTACCCTTAAAATATATCCACCATTGGTTTCCCTTAAAATATATCTACCATTGGTTTCCCTTAAAATACATCCACCATTGGTTTCCATTGAAAAATACAGTGAGAACCAGAAAACTGTGGAACAGGAAGACGACATTGAAACATGTTAATGTTCATCTGACTATTTAAAGTCGTGCCTTGTGTCTAAAAGTCGTTTTTCTATTTCTTGTTCTCACTTTATACAAACACTGTTTATTGTACATATTGTGCACTGTACACCATGTAAACAGTTACTCAACTATTTTTTCCCAATTAAAAGTTAGAGCATTTATAAGCTTGAAGATGCACTTTTAATTTTTAATCTTAAAATTTTGAAAAAAAAAACATCTTTACTTATTGGCTTACCTTGTCTCCATGGCAGGGATACACAATAACCTCTAATCCTCCGTAATCTAAACAACCTTCATCTCGTCTTATTTCTCCTTTCTTCGACATCATCCAGTATTGGTTTCCACCCTGGAGTAATATTCATTATCTTAATCTTAATCTGCTGCTCAAACACTATATACAGCTGGCTCAATTTTGGAGTTGTACAATTGTACGGCTTAGACTTAGAATGAGAACTTTACCCCCTCCCCCTCCCTCCTCCCAGGCCGGCTCCCATGTATAAATCACTATTTTAGGTTAGGTTAGGTCAAAAGGAATTAGAATAGATAGATGTATAGAATACAGTTATCAAGTACTAATCTGGGGGGGGCGGGTTTGATCCCTACCCCCGCTAGGTAGAGTTTAAAAAAATATATTTTTTAAGATTTGATTTCCTCATGATGACAGGGCCATAGTTTTACAGGTTTCATCAGATCGTTCGGACCAACACCCGAATCTAGAAAATTAATATTTACGTAAGTAGAATTAGAGATACTCACTTGGAGATATAGAAGTGACTTTATTTTCTGTTCGATCAGATCATTTTACACGAAACACTTAGTTCTATTTGTAATTGGATTTGGGTCAACGCAGCATGGACTATCCAGGGTTATAGATAATCACGGGCAGCCATAGTACATTTGAATTTCCGAGCCGATCAACCTTTCCGGTCCCAGTGTGTACTGTACCTAGATCGACAGGACTGGCCGATGCAACCAGGTTGACGCGGTCAGACTTTATGCTTCATACAGGTTGAATTTCCTTTTACTAAAGAAGCAGAAGTGTGTGCAATAGATGTTTGGTTTCCTAAATTTTTTAATCGCTATTTGGTCTAGAATATTGAACAATATGTAAACTTACAGGTTTGTTTTTTATTCTTTTTCATTTAAACCGCATCCGCCGACCAAAAAGTAAAAAAGCGAAAAATGTAATTTTAATAGGTTTTGTGAATAGGTGTCCCATCTTACTGGGCTAAGGACAAAAACTGGAAATTAGCGTGCTAGGGTGTAAGTTTGAGGTTATTCACAATTTATAGCAGTAAACATTACAAAAATTCATTTTATTTTTCTCCCCTTCCCTTCTACCTAATCCCCCCCTCCCATTGTGATCTAGCCAGGCTACATTTGTTGCAGAAACGTGGTGGGTCGACTTTACACAGGTATAGTCCAGACTGGACGGTACGACTGAATGTATAATGAATATAAATCTTTACCTAAACAAGTGTTGGATTGTGGGTTGGAAATATCTCCGCTTGATACAGAATCTCCGGGTATAAATAACTCTGGGAATATTGTATCCAGGTACCACTTGAAGGATTTACAGTTCAATCTCTCTCTCAGAGCTTTACGACTAGATACGTCTCCGTATTCTCCTAGATCATGGTTTATCCGGCTATAGTAGTACTCCTGGATACAACATAGGGATAAAAGTAATACTATAATTCAAATTATATTTTTTCCAAATATACAATAATAATAAAAAAATTTAATAAATAAAAGATAATATATTTTTTGAGAGTTTAAAGATTTATCCTACTTTCCTTATATTCATCCATCCAAACTTCTGCCAACCTTACAGAATTCTTTTTTAGAACATTCGTATTGGATCTCCACTGAAATTTTATACATTGGATTTCCACCTATTGTAGACATAATTTCAATGATTTACAACGGTACCCTGTAAACCTTTGATTTAGGGTTTCCATTCGCAAAACTTTTGCGCAATTTTTGCGGAACGAAACGCAAAATTTTTCTTTCTTTGCGCACCAGTTTTGCGCGAAAAAACAACAATTTACGCAATCATTTGCAAAAGTCATTTCGCGCAAAATTGCCCTATTCCGCTTTTGCGAAACTCAAGTTTTGCGCAATTCCGCAATTTCGTACCAAAATCCAAAACNAAATATATCTAACCTTTCCCCTAATCCTTTACTCTTGTCCTTTTCATACCCTTTACTCTAGACCTTTCCCACGTATCTTTTACTTTATAACCTACCCTTTATTCTTTACTCTCGTCCTTTCCTTTCTCTTAAAACTAAACCTTTATCTAAACTTTACTATAAACCCTAAAGGATGTGAATGGGCTTAGAATAAAAAAGGATAGGTCGGTAGTAAAAGATTTGGAACTGTTTAGAGTAAAGAATGAGGTTAGGTTTAGGAGTGAAGGATAATGAAAGTTCAGGAGTAGATGTTAAAGAAAGCATTAGGAGTAAAAGAGTTGGAAGGGTTTAGAGGAAAGGATAAGAAAAGGTTAAGAGTAAAGAATTAGGAAGAGTTTAGAGTGAAGGATGAGGATTGAGGAAGGCTTTAGAGTAAAACATGAGGAAGGGTTTAGAGTGAAGGATGAGGAAGGGTTTAGAGTGAAGTATGAGTAAGGGTTTAGAGTGAAGGATGAGGAAGGGTTTAGAGTGAAGGATGAGGAAAGGTTTAGAGTGAAGGATGAGGAAGGGTTTAGAGTGAAGGATGAGGAAGGGTTTAGAGTCAAACATGAGGAAGGGTTTAGAGTGAAGGATGAGGAAGGGTTTTGAGGGAAGGATGAGAAAGGGTTTAGAAAAAAATCATAAGGAAAATTTAGAGTTAAGAATAAGGAAAGGTTTAAAGAAAAGGATTGTAAAGTTATATTTCCTCTTGGTTTATTTTTGCTCTTTATCCAAACTCTTAATTATCTTTTTCTCTTAACCTTTTTTTTCCATACCATAAACATTCTCTATCCTTCACCTTAACCCTGTCTTATCCTTTACTCTCAACCTATTCGTTTACTTTACTTTAAACCTTATACGTTAACCTCTTTAATTTCAGTAAATTGCGAAACACCTTTACTTTTTTGCTTTATCATTAACTCGCATTCATTTATTCTATTTCACCCTTTTACAACAAAACTTAACCCCTAAAGCATAAGAACTAAAAGAAATACCAAGAAAAAAAAATGCTAAAAAGGGTAGGAGAAAATATAATGGAATGTTCAAAGTAAAGGATAAGGGAAAGGTTTAAGAATAAAGAGTATAGAAAGGTTCAGGGGAAAGGTCAAAGGGCTGAGGTAAAAAAAAAACTCTAATTATATCCTCACCTAAAGCAGAGTATCCTAAAGTACATTTTTCATCTTAATTAGTTAATACGGGTATTTTTTCAAAATGTTCAAAGCAAGTTTCTATTTAAATAGCTGAAAAAAATAAATTATTGCCAATATGCAAATTGCAGGAAAATCCGCCCTATGAAAAAGAGCTGACATATCGCAAAATGTTCATCTTGATGAGCTCTTAAAGAATCTCTAAAAAAGTTACATTGATTTGTCTTTTGTTTTAGAGGTCCTTCAAGCACACTGTATCATCCTCTTTTTCAATTGTGAACATGTTCTTTTAGTTTAACTTGTAAAACAAAAACAAAACAAAAATTTCGTGGATTTTATAAAAAGAAATTCATGGATTTTTTAAATTTTCGAAAATCGAATTTTGTAAGAGGCAATTTTTAATTCGATCATCCATAAACCTTTCCTGGGGTCACACGAGGTCCCACAACAAATGTGGGCCCGATTAAATTAACCGTTTTGACGTTTATTGGATACAAACGAGAAGACAAACAAACAAACACCCACACAAAGAGACACACAAGCAAAGTATGTATATAGACGATTGGATTTTCCCTAAAATTATTATTATTGGATCTCCTCTGAAATTATTATTGTTGGATTTCATCTGATATTATCATTATTTGATATTCTCTGAAATTATATTAACAATTATTTTGTAAATTCATATTGTGAGATCTTTTCTAAAATTAAAAGTAAAAATTAAATTGTTTGGCTTGAGTAAGAATCCAAGTATATAATGTATGATGAACACAGATGGGTTCATCAATGCAGAAAATAGTTGAAAAAATTATAATAATTTGATGAAAAATATGTTTTTTTAGAAATAAAATCAATAACTAACGTTTTTTGATAAATCCAAAACAGTTTTTGAATCCAGCAGTTTTATAAATGATTTCGACTGTTTTGACAGTTATGAATTATGTATTTATTCTTCTAATTTAATTTGATAAAAATAGAATATTAGATAATAAGATCATTAATTTATGTTTGTTTAAAAATATTATCATTTTCTAAAATCTAAATATAAATTAATATTTTTAATCAATTCAAAAACGTCTATTGTATAAAACTGATTGCAGCATTTTTTAAAAGTGATTTCAACAGTTTTTACATTTATGTATAAATGGTGATTGCATATTTTTATTCATTATTTCAACTAATTTTATGACATATGTAAAACAAAAATTATATAATTATGTATAATCTTCATTCAAAACATATATTGAGAACAAAAATGTTTAAAATTTGTATAGTATGTAACCATGAATAAATTTGCCTTTCTCATCTTGTGCGTAAAATCTAAACGATCAGAAGACGTACAGTAATAATGTCGCAAAATATTGTTCTTATCCTTCTGTCTAGAGAAGCGTACAGTCTCTTCGTGATATATACTTTGCTTGTCTGTCTGTTTGTTTATATCCAATAAACGTCAAAAACGTTAGGAAAAAAAGTTTAAATCTATTATATTTGAAAATGCGTAAATTCAAACAGAAAAATCCGCAAAATAAGATTTACAAAGAAAATGGCCGCCAGAAGAGCAACTGTAAAGAGCTAAATAGTCAATTATTTACTTTGCTTGTTTGTCTGTTTGTTTCTTTTTATTCAAAAAACTTTAAAACGGCTGAACCGATCAAGCCCAAATGTCGGCTGTCAGGCTCTTACGATTTTTAAAAATCCACCAAATTTAACACCGTATTAGTATGGAGTGCGATAAAAATGGCGAATGAAAATAATTAACACATAAAAGCTTCAGTTTTTACTGGAACAGGGGCAATCTGGCCCGGAAAGCCTATTTTTCAATATTTATGAATTAGGCATATGTAACTTATTAGGTGGGGAGTCAATTGAAATTACAGAGACAGTTTCTTTTAAGTAATATTTTGGCTTAATTCCACAATGTGTTTAAATATCCCAGTTTACCTTATATGGAGATCTTTTCCGGAAAATATGTCCGACATGGGAGCAAGGAACGATCTCTAACGTTCCTCCGCACATCCAGATCTTGAAGGATATCTCCAGGTTCTCTGCTCCCCAGATATCAAACTGGGGATCATAGGTTCCTAGCTTCTCAAAGTATTCCTGGATGCGCAAAACAAGAGATTATCAAATTGAAGAAATGAAATGATTAATTCTGTCAATATTTACCGTTCTGTAAGGGTGCAAAGTTGACCGAGTAACTTACAAAATATATTTTTAATATTTATTTTTGTGTGAATATGTATGAATATCTCTGTGGTTCCTTGTTGATAGCGAATAGTCCCCCTGCCATGGTAGGAGAATGAGCAGGTTCCCAGGGATGAGATCTCCGAGCTACTTCATGAGCTGGTAGAGAATGCCAGTTAAACTGCAGACCCCAGTCAAATCCTCCCACAGAGAAGTAGCTTCCACCTAAGCAAGTTTAATAATAAAATAAAGAACTAAACATCACTCGCATCATTATTTATTTTTAACCTGATATCTTTCAACCTAAAGTTCCAATGGTTTTAACCCTATTAGGTTGCTAGGATATAGAGATGATAAATTAGAGTTTGGGGCAAGTGTTCAGGTTGTTTGATCCGATAAATCAAATTATTCTTCATTCATGATTTCAAAAAGGAGACAAGAGATAAATATATTTAATCCCCCCCCCTGAATTTTTATTCCCCATTTTGGCCACCCACTATAGTATATGCTATGTACATATATGTTATTATTTGTATAATATCTAAAATGTTGCTTGATGTAAACTTTTAAAAGTTAAAATCAAAATTGTATATTTTTAGATTAGGGGGAAAATTACGTTTCGATTTTTTCCTTGTCATGTTATTTTAATGTTTTTTTTGCATTCTTTTTAAATTAACAATTAACCTACTATTTATCAAAAATCGCCTGATTCAGAATTTAGACAAAAACTCGTTGATGATAATTATTTATTACTGGCTTGATACACATTTTTTCATTTCGGAAATTATAGATATTTAATTTTAAAGAACATCTGGAGGAATTCACGCAGAACATAATTCATTTTTAAAGTTTTATTTTTTTATTTTGTACATACTTTTATATTCTCTGAGATCTAGACAACTCTAAAAGTAAATTATCAAATTTTTAAACTGCCTCGACTTTAAAGTGTCGAAGCGCCTTGTCCTTTGTTTTGGTAAACGCCAAAAAAGTCCTTGGAAAAAAAGTTTCCGGAAAAAAGTCCTAAAATTTCACACTAAAAAAGTCCTGTGGAAAAAAGTCCTTTTATTAAAAAGTCTCCGGAAATAAAGTCCTACCAATTCGAGACTTTATTTTCTAGGACTTTTTTCTGGCTCCAGTATGATTTTATACAAAAAAGTCCTCGGAAAAAAAAGTCCTCTAACAAGTGAAAATGCATGATTCACAATTCTAGGTTTTTCTTTTCCTCGGATTTATTTTCTTCAGGACTTTTTTTCCTGGAATCTTATTTCCTGAGATTTTATTGGCAGCCCCCATACTATTTTAGGAAAAAAAGTCCCAGGAATCCAAAACACAGGATTTTATTTCCAGTGACATTTTCCAAGGACTTGATAAAATTCGGACTTTTTTCCAAAGTTTTTATTTCCAGGTTTTTTTTCTAGAAACTTTCTCACATAGATTCTTTGTTTTTACTTTACTCACTCACATCTTGGTTCGTCTTGATATTGTACAGGTCGATTTTTAACAGTCGAATTTTTTTAATGTTCACCAAAACAAAAAAAGGTACAACAAAAAAATAATTTTAATATTTATTAACTCGTTATTAAATGACATTTGATAAAGAAATTAATTATCTCCAGTATTGTTAATCTTTCTCTGCTTCCAAAGAACTTCCAAACTTTGAACACCATTGTTTTACATCACATGGAGGACGAATTTAATATTTTAAAAACTGGAATTGTATTCTACAAGATCTTCTCATATAACTAGAGACCTTCTGATTTATTACAACCGAAACAATAATTTTAAAATGTTGAAAATTATTTTAGGGAAAAAATGGAGAAAAATGCTGTATTTTTACACTGTTTAAACTGTTTAAGGGAGACCTGTAATATTTTTTCTATGTGTAGCCATTATTGCTTCGGGAATTATCAAATGTCAAACAGAATAAGTAATAAATTGGGAGGTTTTCTTTTTCAATATTGCAGATTTTTCATCCAATTAAGCAAAAATAAAAACAATCGACTTTTAAAAATCACCCTGTATAATAAGTTTCTTATGTACACAATTGTCCATTGTACAATTAGTATTCTATAATGTACATACTTGTTAAATAAGTTTCTTATGTACACAATTGTCCATTGTACAATTAATATTCTATAATGTACATACTTGTTAAATAAGTTTCTTATATACACAGTTGTATACATAGTACAATTAGAATTCTATAATGTACATACTTGTTAAATAAGTTTCTTGTATACACAGTTGTATACATAGTACAATTAGTATTTTATAATGTACATACTTTTATATTTTTTTAGAATTGGGGGGGAAATATTCCCACAACCTCTACTTTTAGAGGTTTTTAAATATTTTCTCCTGAAACACTTTATTTTGTATGTTTTTGTTATATTTCATAAATAAATAATTTTTTACTTTTACTTTTTTACTATATACACAGTTGTACACATAGTACAATTAGTATTTTTTAATGCAAAGTTAGAATGCAAAGAAAGTTATTTCAGATGTGTACGCATCTTTGTTACTGCAGTGTACTGTCTCTGGGTGGTAATGTAAACACAATGTAAGCCTGACATGGGATCCATCTATTACATAAAAAATCAATGAAATATTCTGATCATAGGAAACTAATATGTGGATTATCAAAATTATCAAAATTCGAAGCTATTAACCTCCTTGGATACTAAACGAACACTGATGCATCTATTCTTGTTTACAAATTCCGCCCAAGAGAACTGGTTTCAATATGTACGCAGAGTATACGCTACTGCAATTAACTTTCCTTTTCCACGCGGAGCTAGCATTTCTCAACGGATAAATATCTCAAAATTTTGTTTGTTTCTATTAGGATTATAGTTGATTATGAATGAATGTATGAATGCTTTAAAGTTAAAAACAAATTTTGTTTTATGGGCATAATTTACAGGCTATATATCCGCATTCCATGCACAATCTTGCTTTTCTGTTTCTTGATATAAATATAAATAAATATACCTTGATATAAATATAAATATGTCTACTCTCTGTGGTTCCTTGTTGATAGC